ACAGTGTTTGCTGATTTTCAGTTTTATATACCTATTTAAACTTTGTGTAGCCTAAGTAATTTGTTATTTTATTAGGCATATATGGTGTATTTTTATTCGTTTTGTTAATAAAAGTTCTATGAGTTTGACGTTGTTTTTGCTTGAATTGAATCAACGCCGAATTGCCGCTAATTTGAAAGTGAAAGTAAAACACGCACAGTGCTTTTTCAAGCTATTTGAAAGCGAAGAAAAGAGGGAAACTCAAATGAACTAACATCCCCCCCAACAGTGATATCGGTATTACCGGTGTTGTCACACGTCGATTAACCGGTGGGAAAATTTCCTCACCGTCGCAACCCTAACCGTGACAAAGGGGCGCCAAAACGTTCGAAAGGGGCAGGGCCACTTTTAGTAAAATGCCTATAACTCCTGAATGGAATGACATATCTTCGCCAAACTCAGAACACTTATGTAATAGCTCAATCTGAGGTCACAGGGAAAACATCGTGGAGCTTGGCCACTTGGTGGTGCTATAAGAGGGAAAAAAAACATAAAAATGGCAATAACTGTGCAACCATTTGTCCTATCAACATGAAAATCGGTCTTGGTCCAAAGTGCCACAAGTGTCTACAAGGACATTTGCGTATCTCAAAAATCAGAACTCCTCAACCTTGCCTCTACAACCACTGCTATCAATCGAATCATTTGTTAAATGATTGAGATGATGTAAAAAACCTGCTTTTGCGAACTAGTCCTAGGTTTTTCGCTCAATCTGGAAAAAAACACTGCAGTACAATTCTCTGGACTCTCTAGGCCAATAATTATCAAAAAATTTTAGAAATTTGCCCTTTGGCAATCTATAACGGGGGCCTGTCCAAATGTACCCAAAATCATATAAAGCCTAAAGAAAAACTCAAAACTTCACAAAACCTGCTGAGCACATGCAACAGGTGATTCTAAACAAGCATGTGAAGTTTTAAAGGGATCGAACCACAGCTGGCGCTGTAACAGTCATAAACATTCAAAAACATCATATCTCTATGGTAAATTACCTGGATTTGCCGAAAATGCTTTTTTTTTTATCATGGATTTATGTTGGTACAGCCTTTCCTAAATAATATGTAATGTCTCTTTCCTTATATGCTTAAATGCCTTAAGCGCTTGAAAAGCCTTAACGCTGCTTGCAGCTATATTTTTATTTAGTTATCAGATGGTCCAGGGGTACTATCTTAAAGTGAGCGTTTAGTTGATCCTGATAAGCGCTCGTCATCACAGTTGTAAACACAATGGCTTTCTTCTTTCGTGAGGGGGTTTGGCGTCATGGCATTTTTGTTTCCAGGCGGAACGTTAAAGAACGCGACACACACGTCTCCTGGAAATCCTGTGTAATTCAACCAATCCGATGACGACTTCTAAACTCCTGAAGTGTTTCCACTTTTGTGTGCCATATGCATCAGACGTTTAGCCAACGGTCCGTGGGCGTGACGTCTGAGGCTGAGACTAGTGTGTACTTGTCTAGATTGGGCGTTTCACTGAAGGTCTCTGCAGTGCTTGTCAGATTAATCACATGCATACACACATGACATCTGGTTGGAGAAATTACTATGGGTTTGTCACACAGTTTATTTATATATTTGTTTCCGCTGGCTTTTCAAAGGAGTTTCTTAAAGAAGTTTATTTCTTTAATAAACAGTTCAAAGTTTTCGGAGCAAGGATTTGTGTGATTAGTGAGCATTAGCCGCACATATTTCACAGTTGTAAACACGACAGCTTTCTTCTTTCGTGAGGGGGTTTGGCGTCATGGCATTTTTGTTTCCAGGCGGAACGTTAAAGAACGCGACACACACGTCTCCTGGAAATCCTGTGTAATTCAACCAATCCGATGACGACTTCTAAACTCCTGAAGTGTTTCCACTTTTGTGTGCCATATGCATCAGACGTTTAGCCAACGGTCCGTGGGCGTGACATCTGAGGCTGAGACTATCCAGGGGGATCTTAGAGCTTGAGCCCTTCTATAATGGAAAGTGTGACAAATCTGTTAACCTTATCATACTGTAGGGTTATATGAACCAGTGAAGTCATATATTCTATTTTTTGGCATTAACTTTCAGAAACTCAGAGTATGCCACCAGTGTCTCACCAGTGTCTAAAACTAATATCACAATTTCTTTATCAACAGTTGCTTCAGCTTCCATGTGATTTACGTTTATTCATTTAGCAGATGGTTTTATCCAAAGCGACCTACAAATGAGGACATTACTATGGTGTTATTATGGTTTGCTTATTTTGACAATTTGAAAGTGTTCCATCTGTTGAAGTAATATCATTTTAGTTCCATGGCAACTTCTGATTTGAGTTTCGCAATTTATTTCCTCAGCTGATTTTTCAGTTGCTTCATTAGCCCTGTGAAATGAGAGCAGTGGCCAAAATTAGCTTTCTGTGCACTCAGCTACCCCTTCTGTAGCATAACACACACACACACTTGGACATCCCCACATGCTTGCCCACATTTACACAATCCAAGTCCAAACTTCACAGCTCTTGCTAGAAGTTTTTAATTAAATGTTTTAATGCTTTTGAACAAAAAGTTTCTTATTCTCACCATACTGTATTTTAATCAAAAATGAACTTGTATTTATTAAAAAGAATCGTAAAAAAAAAAAAGCATGGCGGTTTCCACAAAAATATGAAGCAGTTTTGGACTGCTGAACTGGATGCTTCAACTGTTTTCAATAAAGATAATAATAAAAAAAAATATATATATTTGAGCACCAAATCAACATATTAGAATGAGTTATTTTAAATTGTATTAATATTTCAATATTGCTTTTTTTACTGTATTTTACATAAAATAATCAAATAATAATCCTTTATACAATGTGTCATCTTAGATTTTCTTATCAGTTATGACCATTGGAGTTTTACTGTATTGGACTTCTTTATGTTAATGTTTATTGCATTACTTTAATGTCATGTTTGTTACCATGACAGTGTTTTGTATTCATGTGTATGATACTGTGCACCTTCTATATAGTAGTATTCAGTGTTGGGGAAAGTTACTTTTAAAAGTAATACATTACAATATTGCGTTACTCCATAAAAAAGTAACTAATTACATTACTTAGTTACTTTTTATGAAAAGTAATGTGTTACGTTACTTTTGCGTTACTTTTTAAATCTGGAAAGGGCTCGCTTGTTTGTTTTTAAAATAAAAAAGTTATATTTTTGGCAAATATAAAAGCCTTTTCACACCAAAAGTGAAATGAATAAGCCTCAGGCTGAAGGGAAAGTAAATTTACGTCCGTACAGTAGAATGCAGAAGAAGAAATTTCAACACACTTCAGCAATAAAAAAAGACACACAAATGTTTGTCTAGAGTAATTTGTGCTTATTAGTACGGTTGAACTGGATCATCGAAGGTCAGAAGCAAAGACATTGGTTAATAGAATGGGATTAAATACATAAAGGATATTTGTGTTGTTTAACATTTAATTATTGCAGGTTTGCGTCATATTCTGAGTTGCATTATTTTTATTAATTTTGAGCAATACTGAATCTGTTTTTTTTTGTGTGAGTGAGATGAATTAATGCATATTCATATTTATTTTAGAACTACAGTAACATCTTCTGATTTCTCTCAACATGGGGACAGGAGAGCTGTCAATCAATAAATTGAAAAAAAAATAACTTGTGTTACTTATTTGAGAAAGTAACTCAGATATTCTCTTGTAAATTAAAAAGTAATGCGTTACTTTACTAGTTACTTGAAAAAAGTAATCTGATTACGTAACTCACGTTACTTGTAATGCGTTACCCCCAACACTGGTAGTATTTAGTATTTACCTCAGCTTGTGGAAAAGCTACTTATGATGAATTTTGATGTATTATGTGGATTTCTCTTTACCATCAGTGTTTTAAACCTGGTTTTGCAGGCGGTATGTTATAAAGTAAAAAAAAAGATTTTGGAAATTTGGTATATTAACATTATTTCAGTTAATGTATTTATTTTTTTTCTAAATTTTTTGTTCAATCTGTAAAACTTAAAATATTGCTATGTATTTTCTACAGTAAAATTCTGGCAACCACAACTGCCAGTTTCTACCATAAATTTCACCTATTTTTTTTTAGACAGTGTACTATATAAACACATATATACTTACTATTTTATATGAATATATACAGTACATGTGCTCCCTGTGCCTGTAACATCATAGAGGCATCTTACACTAGGTCTCTATGTCGCCATGTAGAGTTTGTGCTTAAGTGTTGAAATACCATCAACGGCTCTCGCACTGACTTCACTTTGCTTTTTTGATAGGCATTGTGTGGCTGTACGGTGAACATTCCCACCATTGACAACCGAGCGATCACATTGCCCTGCAACGATATCATCAAACCAGGCACAATCAAGAGACTGCGTGGAGAAGGCCTACCTTTCCCAAAAAATCCGTCTCAACGCGGGGATTTGATAGTGGAGTTCCAGGTGCGCTTCCCAGACAGAATACCACCCCAGTCCAGAGAGATCATCAAACAGCACCTACCACAGTCTTAGAGGAAGTTCAGTGGATTCACTGTATGGTTACCACACACCGTTTTCCCCAAAAAAACAGACGCTGAATTCGAAGAGGGACAAATATGTCGTAAGGACCAGAGGCTCATTTGATATTTTGTTGCAGTTTTACCTAATTTATTATCACTTTCTCTGAACATGTGGAACGCTGATTTTTTGGGATTTTGAAGTAGTTTGTGTTTATGCCGTGGCTCATGACTTTCAACCAGGATTTTATTTTTAGAAATATTTTTTTATTATAATTATTTCCCCTTAACGGTTTTTATTCTCTTTATCAGCATGTTGAAGGCAAACACTTACAAGAAAGACAGAGTGACTGATTTGTTATATGGAAGGTTAATATTTTTAGTGCAATGATGGATACGAGGATAATCTAACAACAGCTGGCTATTTATTCTGGATTTGAATCTGTTATTTTGTAGCAGATTAAATTCCCTTCCCTTGTAATAATCGATAATCTCATTTTAAATGAAGTGGTCTATGTAAGACAACTGCAGTGTTGGAGACTTCTGGATTTGTAGGATTTTTGAGCACCAGCAGAGCCATCTGGTAACTATTTGATATATTTCCACTCCCTCACGCATCTCAACAGTCTACAGGTGCTTTCTGGTAGTTCTTGAAGTATCAGGTACTGGCATTTATGGTGGTGTGATTACAGGATTTTTGAGGTCACAGAAATTTTGAGTGCCTTAATGTGGCTCAAACCAGCTATTTGCTATTTTCATTAGGCTATTGTTGAAAAAATACTCTAATCAGATTAATTGGTCATTTTTGTACCCAAAAACAATGTATAGCAGTAACCATCATTACAGAGATAGTTTACTCAAAAAGGACAAATTGGAAGGAAGAATGTAGTCATCTTCATGGTGCTGTTAACATATAATGTTATATTGTTTCTGTGGTACACATGAGGAGTTAGCTAGCAGAATGTCTAGGCTGTTTTTCCAAACAATGAAAAGTAGATGATGACTTTGTGAAGCCAAAAAATGTTAAATATACTATATTCTAAAGTGGAAGAAAGTCTTCTCTCTCTCTCTCTCTCTCTCTCTCTCCCCCCCTCACTTTTAATTTAACAAGGTGCAAAGGGAAAAAAAACAATAAAAACATCACCATAGGCAATATTTTATATAGCCAAGTTATATTATAGGATCATACAAAACAAAAATCTTTGACCTAGGCTGTCTAGTAAATATGTACACAACATTTTGTTGGTCTGGCAAATCGTCCTTGCAGACAGTTCTTCATTATTTTATTAACTGAGAGAAGGAAAATTTCAGGGAATAACAAATTCTTTGAATAATAAATTCTGGTCTGTTCCTGTGTCAGGTTGTTCTGTCAAAGTTTGTCAGCTGTAATCAAAAATCACTTTCATTGTATGAAAATGAACAGCCTAAATAAGACATTTTGTGTTACGTGCAAAAATATCATTTGAGCAACATGTGGGCAAAATCATTTTTAAAAAATGATTGAGGAGGGATAGCTATTGGAAAATGCTCATTCATTTACTTCACTATACACACACATTAAAAGAAACCCAAACATCCTCCAAAGTGCAGCGTGACACTCTCAGTTTCAGTAAGTTGAAAAACCCAATTTTAATCCAATATGAAAAAAGATGAAAGTGAGAACTGTTCAAAGTTTTTCTTTTTTGAAATGCAGGTCTTCGTTGTTCAGTAAGCACAGCTATAGCTTTTTTATGAAGTTATGAGGGAATTGTTTTTTGAACAGCTTTTTACTACAACAGTTTCAGTATACTGTATTTCACACTTTTAAATGTGTGCAATGTGAAATAATTTGCAATAGTTCTCTGTATTTTAGTTTAGATTTATATCAAGTGCAAAGCCTCCCTTTCAACTGATTTGTGATGTACCATCTTTCTACAGTTACAGCAGCCTTTGAGAAACCGTATTTTCTATCTAAACAACAATTTTCATATTTACAAGGATCCTTCCAGGATATCTCTTATACAGTCGTAACTATGTCATTTAATAATTGCTGTATTTGGTGATCAAATGAAAGTACGGAGGAACATAACCTTTTTAATGACTAGTGTCATGTTGTTTTATTATGTGCTGGTCTATGTTTGGATTGTTGTACCATTGTACTCAGCATATTTTTGGACATCCAGCCACTTCTGTTTTGAATTTGAATGTCAAATTTGAAATGTCTCATGTTTATTTCTTCTGTCCTCATACATGAGACCGTATTAAATGCAGCTCCCTGCACCCAATGGGAGGATAAATCAATGCAGAATGCAAGCGCTGTGTTCGTTTCCTGTGATTCAGAAAGAATCGGGCCTTGAAGAGTGTGTGTGAAGTACTATTGAACTCTATCATTTTCAGTACACTTACAGTATACATTTTTGGTGCTTTATGAATAATTGATGAGAACATGAAATAAACCAAAAGTCTTGACTGAAAAGAAAATAATAAGGATCACTTTGTTTCAGACTGAATGAAATGTACAGTAGACGGCAGACTGGCAGCTGTCCAAATGAGATGACAACACTGGCCACACAAGGTAACCAAAACTCAGGGTAACCAAGGTAACCAAAATTTAAATCAGAATATCGACTCCACATGACTCCAAAGATCCCTACTGGAGTTTTAAATTATATTTCAAATAAATGTATAATCTTTGGGGCGAAACATTTGCTTTTATCTATTTAAAGTACATTATATAAAGTCTACGTGACATGAATGGAGAATGCTTTCATTATGCGGATAAGTCTGACAAATGGCTCATGCCACATCACTTGACTCAGAAATTATCCTCATCCCTCTGAAATTAACTGGTGAATCAGACCATTCTCAGTAACCAGGAGTATTTGACTCGGTCAACTTCCCTCAAGTCATACAAAAAGCATTATTTCACAAGTTAAATTAACTAAAGGTGTTAATTCAATTATTTCTTTATGAAGTGCAATGTCCCATTGATGGATGCACTTCTGACGAAGTATAAAATCTCTTAGAGATCAATTCATGGTTCACTGCGTGTTTTGATGAGTCTGATTATCTGTGTCACAGCATGGCAGCTCCATTAACTGCACTGCATTCCTCTAATGGATCTGCCACTGACTGTATGATTTGAGAAATTAGCACTGACGTTCCACTCGGTTCTCTGTGGAGTTCAAGTTCATACTGTGCACATAAATGAGCTGACCAGGGATTGACCCTAGGACATTTTGGATCATATAGGCTTGTATAGGATACATCAACCTCACACACTAGAAGCATTTGAAAATCAGACAAAAAGACAGAAAGTTACAAGACTGTGCACTCAACAGCTTTAACAAGAGTAATCCCAAAAAGCACTGTAAATATTAAGCATGACTATTTAAATAAATTGAAATAATAAAAGGTATCATGAACGGCCTTTGTTTTTTATTTTGTACTGTTCTCTGAGGTCCACTTGTGTTATCAAGATTTTTACATCAAAACACAATCATTTAGAATTAATAAGCTATTTTCTGTCCTGTTTTGACCCCCCTCATCAGAACGCTCTGTTTGAATAGCCATGGCAGATTGAGGATTCGAAAGTAAATGCCCACTGCTATGATTGGATAACAGTTGTGTGTGTTTGACAGCCTACGTTCTACACAGATGGACACTGCTGTGATTTAGGTTAAAAACGCATAAATGCTCAGTACCAGACGATCTGCAATAACAGACAAAGCAATAGTGATCACGTAATAAAAACAGTTACTCACAGTCGTGTGGTGCGACATTGGATCCAATATAATCAGCACACCATCATATATAATATTAGTTTCAGTCTTTCTGAAAATCCCGTATCGAATTGTGGCTTGTTTGTAAATGAATCCACAGTAAAATGAAGTGTAAGGACCGAGTACTTGTTGACTTTATTAAAAAATGGATCTAATAAAGTTTATCGTTTGATTTCTGCGTAGACCTGTGTTTGCCTCTCTGGTTATTTATACTACACGTGCAAAATAAGCAGTGCTATAGAAGCAGGCGTTGATCTTCTTCTGCGGAGGTGGTGTTTAGCAACACTATTACGTCATAAAGTGGCACATTCCACAAGCTGTCGTTTTGGTAGATTGGCTTCAATATAAGCTGTTTTTATACTAACAAGCAAGTTTTGATTTATGAAACTTACAGAATGTTTTTATAGCACAGTGACCTCTTATACATCAAAAGATCAAGGGAATTTTAATTTCTCAGTTCACAACCCCTTTAAAGTCTGACTGGCAAAGTCTTCCTCTGGCACCTGAACATATGAAAGTATGAGTCCCCTATTTTCATCTTTACAAGTTTAATCTGAATTGTTTGACATTGTTGAAAATACTCAATTTTCAGAGTTGAGATGGAGAGCAGGGCGAAACATTGCCTCCAATATTCAGATTAGTGTCACTAATATTTAGAAAATCTGGGTCTGTGATGCCTCTTGAAGTGCATACGAAAAAAACATTTTCCTCTTTTCAACTTTTTGAAACACCCATCAGGCATTTCCTGAACTAAATAATGCATTTATTTTTATTTGTGCTTCCAGAAGTGTTGCCGCCTCACTAATACTCTAGCCTGATGTCACCCAAGAGATTAATGGTCCTTGCTGTTTAATACCAGAATACATATTCATGAAGACAAAAAAAGTAAATTAACCAAAAACTGAGTGCTGAGGCATTCTGCTGGTATTTTGTCAGTGTGTCTAAAAACTAGGACATATTATAATTATAAACACTGTATGCAGAGTCAGTATTTTCAAGTTTGAATCCAGTACAACATTGGCAGAAATCAGATCATTTAAATATACATCTATTCCATGCCAAACTACGCAGATTTGCATATCAATGACAAAAATATCAGTAACAATAGTTGTTTATAGGGGTGTGCGATATATATCGTCTGCGATAATATCGTAATGGTTGTTTTAACGATGTGCGATTTGACATTATCGAGTATTTTGCAAAAACCATTCAAAACATCCCTACAGAGCGCACGCATACATTATGTGAAGTCTAGACTAGTGCGTGTGTCTTATTATTCTAATTCCCTGATTATATGTAAGAATGTGACATTTTATAAAGGTAAAAATGCCCATAAAATGCAAAAATCAGTTTAAACAAGATTAATTTCTATCAGTATGAACTGACCACCACACAGAATATGAAGAATATTAAAAACATTAGGAGTCAGCTGTCTTCGGCAGTCCTTAAGGTACCAGCACAATAACACACTCAGCAAAATATCGTCTAATTATCGTTATCGATAAAATCCCATAAAATATCGAGATATCATTTTTTGTCAATATCGCACACCCCTAGTTGTTTATGATTTTTTTTCTCTCTAATTAAAATTTACCTCCTATTGCCAAATACACAAAGAGGTTCAGCAATAAACAAACATACTCACATGCTATTTATTACAAGCGTTCTAAGAGTACTGTCACTTTAAAATGAGCCATTGGTGCTAATAGACTGCCAGTGACTCCACAATCAAGAATGTTATTCTGGGGTTGCAGGTTTTTTCCCCCGCATTGAGATGACTAAGTCATTTAGTCTGACCACATAAGGGAAGTGGAGTGGACCTTGAGTCAAGCGCGCTGCCAAGTCACAACACTTGGAGCAGTCGTGAGACGGACAGTAATAATTCGCTGGCTCTATATTTGTCCAGCAGGAGGGCCTTAACAGCTGAGAGCGCTAAACCTGAGCATGCAAGAATGTGACTGACTCTAAACTGTTTTGATAGACGGCTCCATTGTGAACATACCCAGAATAAACAGATGCCATTTCCTGACCCAAGCCATTTCATTAACTTCATTCCCCCCAAAGCCACACTGACAAGTGATGACATCAGTACTGTTTAGTATGATTAAATAAAAAAAAGAGTGTCAAAATATGTCTGAATGTTCTTGTCATATGATGTTCCTCAGATAGCTGTAGCTGTCTGGATGGCTTTTGGTAATTGTTCAGCCTTTTAGGAAATGGGTAAACAAAGACTTTGAACTTAGTGTATAAAAGCTCAGTAACTGTGTTAGTATGATTGCGCGTACTGGAGCATTAACCGAGGTAAAATATGAACTAAATCATTC